TCATATATTTACTCACCGCTTGGCCAAAGATTCTAAATTTCATATCCACAAGATCTTGAATACCCCTTGAACTTTTCGACATTTGCTGAATGGCTATATGTGTAAAATACTCTTTGTATTCAAGCGCTTTCGTGTAGCAAGTTTCGTATGTATACGCCGACTAGAAATATTTATTTTGAATTTTCAAGATGTCGGGTTTTACTCGCACTTGCGTACATTGCGCAATAATTGGCCAATAAGAAGCTCCTTTGGCCGGGATGACGTCAAACTCACGCGTGTAGGTGCAATTTGACCTTGCGAATCCATTTCTGGCCTTTCCAGGGTCATACGATACAAACGCCGCATTGTTTTGACGGTTTTGTTTTGGGATTAATTCACTTCGAGCTCACAGTCGGACAAGAAATGGAAATATATTGATAAAAGATACAGATTTGTAGATTCAGGGTTGCAAATAACACTCCAAAAACACTATTTAATGGGGATTCGAACAAGACTATTACAAAGACGATATGTTCGAAGGGGCCGAAGTTATTTTCGGCGAAAGGTATGAATAGTCTATATTTTTGTTCAGACAATTGCGTAATTTGATACAATATGATCGTGTTTGACTTCAAAGGCCCATAAATCGCTACAATGTTGATAATGACTATAACTATAGGGAGGAATTAGTTGAATCTTATATTTTTGAATCGAATGGTGGTATTTCTGTCTTCATAGCATGCACTGAACCGAAGATATTAAATTTCTTGCAATTTCTTGCAATCGTTCAGTGCTGATCGATTTAACTGGGGCGTGGTGAAAGGGAGCGCTATACCGTATTCACACATATACTTATTATTTGCTATTTGAACGCCATGGTTGGGCAAAATCAACGAGTAAAAACGTTACATACTACAAATAACAGCAAATCATTATATGATTTATTATGCGAATAAGTAATCAACAAAGTAATGCATGGTTGCACGCATTTCTAATAAACTATACACTGTTCCAGAACACTGTGTGCACTCCATTTTATATCGATATCGTTCCAGAACAGTGTTCCAAATGTTCTAGAACAGTAAATGGAGCAGCTTGCCTGTTTTCCATATTTAGGGTGCGATTATTTAAGATTTTAAGTTGTGCCTGACAGGTAACATAATACAAGTTTAAGACTAAATATAAGATGTATTAGTCCAATTAATAAAGTACAGGTTTCTGAAAGATGTTCATTCAGTAATCTGAAACTACGAGTTAGAACAAGGAGCATAATTGCATTAATGAACACTACAATCGACTCCGTAGTCCCATCAACCTAATCATGCTTCAGCATTCAGTTTATCTCTAAATTCGAGAGTTTTAGCTTGACGTTTACGGCAAACGTCAAACCGCTAACGAAGTTTTTGATTTTACAACTCTATTGTAACAGCTTTTACACCAGTTTTGAAATATAAACAATTATTAAACTTGTGCTCTTTAGCAATGATTTAAGAAAGCAAATTAACCACTAGTCACGTATTCACCAAAGCAGTAAATTAAGATCTGGCGTTTGAAATTTACGTTTGGCGTATAAATTTCATGCTTGAACTGCTATGAGGGCTTGTATAGTCGTTAAAACATGAAATTTATACGCCAAACGTAAACTTCAAACGCTAAATCTTAATTTACTGCTTTCACGAAGACATGATTAGCGTTAGTTTGTTTTCTTAAATCATTGTTAAATACCACAAGTTTAATAATTGTTTAATTATATATTTCAAAACTGATGTAAAAGCTGTTATAATAGAGTTGCAAAATAAAAAAACTTCTTTAGCGGTTTGACGTTTGCCGCAAACGTCAATCTAAAACTTTCTATAACGATTGCGAACACCATTCAGTGGCTTGGAAAGGTCATGATATGGTAACTGAACAATGTAAGTACGCAGATACCACGAGTTTTACGTACCTACCTCGGTGTTTGACTGAAATAAAAGTACCAGATCACAATAGTGGCGTAACTACGGTATACGTATGTGCACAATTTATCGCACTCTGGTATTTTCCCTCACTCAGATTACGTGTTTTCAGTACTTTGCATCACGTCAGACTCCGTGTTTTGCACACGACAAAGCGTTTTCCGTATTTTCTTACTCGCCGTGTTTTTTATTTTTATGACGTCAGGCTGCGGGTCCCGACTCTGTGTTTTCCATGTTACCGTGCACGAAAGCTCGCCAAAAAGTATACGGTAGAACTAATTTGAAACCATGTGCTACCTATGTGATCTACTTTTATAACTTTTTGTCAATATTCATGTGGGAAATTATATGAAATCGACCAAAAAATCTTCCAAATGACGTCACTGGCTCTCATTTCCAGAATGTTTCCGCTATTTTTGTGTCCAACAATGTGTATAACCAGCTTTTATAACCTATTCAGTTCAGTAGATTAGTTCGGTGGTGGCAAAGTTAGCCTGTGCACAGACCGTATTATTCTGTAGTACAATCCATGAAAATTCGTGGCTGGTTGACTCTGATTAGTCATAGTAAAATTCAGTAGATTCTGATTGGTTTAGTTCAAAGGTCAGCAAAATTCTGACTTTTAATAACATGAACAAATCGCATCACGCTCTTCACTAATTAACCAACGGATCGAGGCAACTGAATAAACGTGTATGTCAACAAAACAAATTAACAGTTTACTGCAATGATATCAAGAAACCCACAGATCATGTGGATTTCTACATGGGAAATAAACTGCCTGTTACGGTATATACATGGTGAAAGAAATGCTACACTGAACGATTTGTAACGATCAGTTTGAAATGGTGACCAAATTTGATTGGCGACACGGTCGTGCGTTGTCTTGCGAATCGTCACTGATTGAAAATTTCCCTTGCAATATGGCCTTTAGTTTTAACGAGGTAAATATCCGCACACAAGTGACACACCATGCAGTTATACTACACGTCAGCGAGTAAAATATTAAGCTCCCTTGTATTATTTTCAAAGAAATAGATTTTTATAGCAATTATGCCGAATGCTTAAATTATAACAGAATATATGGCCAAACACGATATCATGCCAGGTTATTTGCGTAGTTGTTTATATATAATCTTAAGCCTGCTTCACATAAAATCGTTAAGCAGTCGCAGACAGTCGCAGACATGTGCCAAATTTTTATATGAACACAAATGCAGATTCGCAGAATTCGGCACATGTCTGCAACTGTCTGCGACTGCTTAACGATTTTATGTGAACTAGGCTTTACTAAAATTTCTTCCGCTACCCAAAGGAAAGTTGGTTTGATTTTCCAATATTTTCATCAATTCAGACAATTGTGATGGCAATGTACTGTATTGGCTCGCAGGTATTATTTCAAGGCTTGCATTCTTCGTATGACTCACTTGCTACTAGAAGGTCTCTAGGCCATGCTGTGAGATCTAAATGTACCTTTTAATTTCTATAGCCCCAGTGCATGGCTTAACGCTCCATAAAGCGTCTTTTTTTTAATCTAGAAAGAAGCCATATTTCCACGCTGTTCGGAATTCATTCCTTCGCTTCTGCCACAAAATATTATGACATTAATTATTATTATTTATTTAAAAAATTCCTGGTTCCTGATTGGCTAACAGCCAACTGTGAAATTGTCTATCAACTCAATGGCTAACCAAATATGGATTTTTCACATTCATATTAGCAAAATGACGTCAAAGAGGCAATATGAAAAAAATTTGGACGCGTTTGCGCCATATTCCTATGACGACGACAATCATATTGACTCACTGACGCCATTGATATGACGACGACGACGGCTGCCGAAGGACTAAGGAATTGTTTTTTTCTTAATACAAATAAAATACAAATGGCTTCTTTCACTGAAAGGTTCGCCAACCTTGGCGAAGCCGAAATTCAAAAATTACTGGAAGATAAAGATTCGTTGAATACAAAAAGATCAACAAAAGCTTCTATAGAATAGGTTAGAACACTTTTCCTATTTCTTGATTGACTGATTAACGCGGGCGAACAAATAGTTGACCGTTTGTTTCGAATTTTTTAAATAAATAATAAAACAATTATTGAGTTCGGTTTTCGCACAATATGAAGAATTATCAAGCCCTCAGTTTGCCATTATCAACCTCAGCCTTCGGCTTCGGTTGATAACGGCAAACTTCGGGCTTGATAATTCTTCATATCGTGCCGTCAACCTCATTCAATAATTGTTAAATATTTTAACCAAGCCAGTCTCCGTGTTTTCCATATTTAACAATGGTAATACGTCAGACTCCGTATTTTCCATTTTTTTTTACATCTCAGGGCTGCGTATATTTTCTATAGTTTACGTGACATCAGACTTCGTTCTGTCCACATATACGAGTCGACTCGCTGTTCGTTATACTTTTCCCGTGACGTCAGATACCATGTTTTCGAGTCTGACGACGCAAGACTAGCACATAATTGACGAAATTTCTTTGTTCAGCAATGTTTATAAAGTAGCGTGCATATAATCCTCTACAGTAGATCAGTTCATGTGCAAAGCCATAGCTGTGAATTGGCGGATTCCGTTTGCACGACCCTGCAAAGCCACAATACCGAAAATGAGTGCAGTCCGCGGAAGTAAACACAATGCTGTGTTGTATTCACAGCTAAATGATTTTCAACAACATTTTGGCAAGAAACTTGCATTTACTGCCGAAATAAAGCAGGGAGATAAAGTTCTAGACATGGGATGTGGAACAGGCGAAGTCACCGCTTCTGTTGCCGAGTTGGTCGGTAAACAAACTCAAGTGGTTGGCGTAGATCCCGACATAGAGAGAATCAAAGTTGCCGTGCAACAGCAATCTGGTATTCACGAAAATATTACATTTGTACATGGAGATAGTTCGAGTAAATTTCCCCATTTCAACGAACAATATTACGACGTGCACTTTAGCAACTTTGTCCTTCAATGGTTAAATGATCGAGAAAAGGAAAAATTCATCGACATCGCGTTTAAAACCTTAAAACCTGGAGGAAAGATAGCCATTGTAAGCTACGAAGAAGACCCGGTAATTGTCAGGGAGGCTGGTAAGATAGTTCTTGAAGATATCGACAATACAAAAGAAAAGGTGCAACCTTATTTTGTCAAGAAATCGGTGATCGAAACTCTTCTTAGAAGAGCAGGTTTTGGCATACTTCACAGTAAGTATTTTCATAATCCCTACACATTTGCCACCGCAGAAGATTTCCTAGCTTTTGTTTATTGCTCAGATTATTTTGATGACACAAAAATATCTCAAAGCAGGAAAAACGATTGGGTAAAGACGTTTGTTAACAAAAATGGAACGGTCACTCTTCTCGATCCAACAATTTACCAGATCATTGGAAAAAAGCTGGACTGACCTCTCCAGCAGTCAAACTGTGGCAATAGTCGTGTTTCAAACAATTGAATTCTGGTTTTATATTTGTGAACAGATTTTAGAGTAGCCCAATGACTCCAATTTATTCAAGCATTTGTCATAAGGCTGTTTGTCTGATTTAATAAATAATGTAGTTAATTTTTTCTGTGACAAAATACGAAACACAAAGACAGTTAGTCAAGAACTATGGATTAAAATGCATATTAAAAATGGTTTTAGTCTACAGTATAGTTATACGTCAACTGAGGGGGTTAATTAAGTGGTTAATTGTTATGTTGATGCGCTAACTATACTTGTCGTGAATATCTTTGTATACCATGTATGCCAAATTTGAAATAATTGAAATAACAGGAATAGTATCTGAAATATAAGATGATTGTGACAAGGGGTTGGGATAAAACGCGGATGCGGACGGACGGACGGACACGCGGACGGACGGACGGACGGACACGCGGACGGACGGACGGACGGACGGACACGCGGACGGACGGACGGACGGACACGCGGACGGACGGACGGACACGCGGACGGACGGACGGACGGACACGCGGACGGACGGACGAAAGGGTTAAAATGCGAATGCGGACAAAAAGGATAAAATGCGGACTGTTTCATTGCCCTAACATAATTCGTTATTTCGGAGACACAATTCATAGACTTAGTACATGGTAAATTCCAGCTAGAGTTTCAGCCGCTTGCCGAAAATGCATTGTAATTTCATTTTAGTTAGTATATGCAAGGTCATAGAGAATTGTGCTGGGTTTTTTCTCCCCGTAGTAAAATACCATTAACGGTGGTGTTGATTTCTGGATGAAAACAGCATGAATGCAACATAATATACGAAATGCACAGAGCTAGTGCTATTTCTGGATGAAAACAGCATGAATGCAACATAATATACGAAATGCACAGAGCTAGTGCTGATGCCTTACCCGCGATATATTTTACGGAAATCCCAACGCAAAAATATATAACAACAAGGTAATTACAACAGGGTATTACAACAGGTATTACGAATGTAATAATCAATATTAAAATACACGTAGTTATGTAAGGCGGAGGAGGCTTTGCTTTGCAGTAAATAATTGCTCCAGGTATGAACCATGCTGAATAGTCAAATTAGCGAGCACAAAGCAAATATAGTGACTTTAAAGAAATTTCTATAAATGTTTAATTAATTAAGACGTTTAGTGTTTAATTAACTGCTAGACGTACATCCAGGCTCTAAATAGTTACTTTCAAGAAAAATTAGGTAGATACTACAAATGTTTAAGTTGTTAATAAACAACCTCAAGAAATCGGATTTTGTGCAAGGCTGCCAAGACTGATATTCTATTTTTTTTAATATTCTGGAGGAAACACAGTGAAGGTTAGTTTTTGTAGTGAATACTATTTATCAATACTGCATGATTACTGTTGATTTGAAGCTCGATTTTGATATACGATGTCGGTGAAACGAGGACGCAAAATCAATGGACAATGGCGGATTTTCAAGAAAATCATTAGTTCCAAACTAGGCCGTTTCAATTTTAATAAGTTTTTGTTCCAACTGTGTCTTTAAAGGTTTATAACTATATATTTTGAAAGCTTCAAATGC